GGCTGAAATTTGTAAGGCTCTTCGGCCCTGGAACAGTGATATGCGCAGATGGATTGCTAACCGAGGGCATGAATGATAGTCGTTTATGAACTTCAAGGGTTGGGAAAACGACAAGAAACCCCGGTACCTGGTCGTCAACGCTGACGAGGGTGAGCCGGGGACTTGCAAAGATCGAGAAATCATGCGCAAAGATCCGCACAAACTCGTCGAGGGGTGCTTGGTGGTTGGTCGCGCCATGAACGCCACCGCAGCGTACATTTACATCCGAGGCGAATTCTATCACGAGGCCACTGTTCTCCAGCGCGCTATTCAAGAGGCATACAAAGAAGGGTTGATTGGCAAGAATGCCTGCGGGTCAGGATACGACTTTGATGTCTACCTGCACCGAGGCATGGGAGCATATGTATGCGGAGAGGAGACTTCGCTCATCGAATCGCTTGAAGGAAAAGCCGGAAAGCCTCGTCTCAAGCCGCCCTTCCCTGCAGCCGTCGGTCTTTTCGGATGTCCTTCTACCGTCACGAACGTCGAAACAGTGTCAGTTTGCCCCACCATCGCTCGACGGGGTGCGAAATGGTTTGCCGGCTTTGGCCGCGAGCGTAACCAAGGCACTAAGCTGTTTTGTATATCTGGACACGTCAATAACCCTTGCACCGTTGAGGAAGAGATGTCTATTCCTCTCCGGGAACTGATTGAGAAGCACTGCGGCGGTGTTCGCGGCGGCTGGGATAACTTGCAAGCCATCATCCCTGGTGGCTCATCGACACCCATTCTACCTAAGCACGTCTGTGACGATCAATTGATGGACTTTGATGCGTTGAAGGACAGCCAATCCGGTCTGGGCACTGCGGCGGTGATTGTCATGGATAAGTCTGCCGACGTGGTGAGGATGATTGCCAGACTGAGCGCATTTTACAAGCACGAGAGTTGCGGCCAGTGCACCCCCTGTCGAGAGGGCAGCGCGTGGACCGCGAAGATTATGGAGAGATTCGAAAAGGGTCAGGCCAGAGCGAGAGAGATTGACATGATCCAAGAACTCACCAAGCAAGTCGAGGGACACAGTATTTGCGGTAAGCCTTTTCCTCGTTATTACTCCTCTAATGGGCACGGTCATGGACCTGGATAAGAATATGGATGCTGATCTAATCACTGTGTTTTACAGCCCTGGGCGAGGCCTTCGCGTGGCCTATCCAAGGTCTCATCCGCCATTTCCGACCCCAGCTTGAAGCCCGCATTAAAGAGTACTCGCAGGTCGCCGGTGGCGAGTCGCTAGCTGGTGGATGGGAGCCCGACTCGTCCAAGAAGGGCCTGCTCATCGCACCGGGACAATAAATTTTTTTTTTTGAAAAATGATATGCTGGGGGGTTAGAGTTGGTCAGTCAGTCAGTCAGTCAGTCAGTCAGTCAGTCAGTCAGACTGATCTATGTCTCGAAAGAGGAAAGACGAAGGGTTGCAAATTGGACAAGGTTCCGATCGTGATCGTGATGGCAGGGAGAGTCGAGGTTGATCTGGATCTTGATCTTAATCTTGATCCCTGAGTGGTAGGAGCATAACAAGTTGAAGAAGAAGGCTGAGTGACTCGTTCATCTTTCCAGCGCATGCGGCGTCTCTTTTTCCCAATCACGCCAGAAGTCTCGATGGAGGGAGAGGAGAGAGAGAGAGACTGAGAACATGAGACGTGGAATAAAAGATTTGTATATATATTTCATATCTTAGGCCATCTTTCTGTTCCTTTCCTTTGCCCTGGCCTTGCCATTGCCATTTCAAATGGCATTGCAGATGGCTTGTCTCCCCTTCCGGTCCTGTCCTGCTGATATGGATGCCGATGCTGAGTATCTCGTGTCGACATGTGTATTCACGTAGATGTACTCGGTATAGTCAACCCCAATTTTCTTCTTATTCTTCCAGTTCCATTTCCATTTCCTCCTCGTCCCCCTCCTCCTCACCATAGCGATATGTCGCTGCATTATTGCGAATAGCAGCTCGAGCGGCCTCCGCCATGCACCGCTTAGGCGCTTTCCGCCCGGTCATCAATTCAAACTGGCCGACGGCTTGCTCGATCAGGGCTTCGATGCCGTCGACCAGGACCCAGGGTCTCTGGGTCGAATCTCGAAACCGCTTGATTTGCTTCGTCAGTGGCGTCTCCCTTGTCATGTAAGCCATTTCGACGACGACTCCGCCACTGGGCGACGTCAGCCACTGCTCTGGCATTTCAAAGTTGGCGCCTGGTTTCCCGTCCAGGACCTCCTGAGTGACACACGACACCACGATCGTTGGAGGCGCAAATCCTGTCGGCCAAGGGTCGGTGATGTGTTCGACGACTTGTACTGGCTCTGGGGCAGTTGGTGAGGTGACCCTGTCCATCTGGGACCGGGTCCAGTCGTTAAAGTGGCGAGCCAAAGCTTGTGTGTTGGAGACAGTCCTGTTGTATACAAATATGTGCTTGCAGCCCAATTGCAGCATAGCATAAACGGCAGCTCTCGCCATCCCTCCAGCGCCAATGATCAAGCAGGTGGTCTTTGGCTGGATGGCATTGCGTGGAGACAGGCTTCTGCTGACACAGATCATTATGCTGATAAAATCAGTGTTATCCCCAAACCAACCAACGATTCTGCCCGCACGATTTCTCAGCTGGGCCTGTATGTCTAGCGATGGTATAACCCCTTGAGGCCCTTCGGGTTGTTGCCGGAGAGGAATTAGGGTGTTGAGCGCCCCTATGGCTTTGGCGTGCCCGCTCAGTGCATGCATGTGAGGAAGTAGCTTGACCTTGTATGGCTGCACCACACTCAAACCACCCAAAGCGTCATCCTTCGCAAGCAAATCAATATCCGCCCGAGTCATGATGGTTTTGGTGCTATACCGATGTTTCAAGCCAAGTAAGCTGTAGCCTGCATTATGCATTGCTGGCGACAAAGATCCCAAGACGTTGGCTCCAACAACATAGAATTGAAGAGGGTCGAAGACAAAGCTGTCAAACAGAGCACTGATGATCTGTTTGGAGGATAGTTGAGGCCAGAAGGGTTGCTTTTCGGCATTGGGAAGACTCGGGTGAGTAACGGCTGTCAACACAGGGTTCAGGATTTGAGAAGTTCGACCCAGAAATCCGACGTTGTAGATTATTGTAACAAGTCGAGGCCCGGGAAGTTGCTTCAATTGTTCAGCAAACCAAATCGCCGCGTCATTCTCCTGGCGTGACGTGGGAACCTCGAGAATTCGAACCATATCAAACTTGAGGTCGAGCGCCCTGGTGTACACATTTTGCAAATTTGGATCCATCCAGTTCTTGTCCTTGGAGGAGTAGTAGCTATAGTTGCCGATCAGCTTGGTATGGCCCTTGACGAGTTCGAGATGATTTATGTGGCCGGGGTCTAGGTCAAGATCTATAGAGATGTACTGAACTCCGAGTCGAAGTCCCTGCAATAGAACTGCCACATAGATCTCCGTCGTGTGGGATGCGGAAAGTCCACGACTGGCAGACAGAAGAATAGGGACGGTCAAGACTCTCCTAGCGGTCGCCACCATCTTGCTTAGCATCCTCGGGGTGTCTGACTGCCACTGGTCAACAAAGATCTCCAATACATCGCCAGCAGCTTCCAGAGCGCCAAAGTCCACTCGTCCCTCAGTGAAGTCTGAGGATTTTATGAGCAGTGCATGGGAATAGGTCCGCGATTCCACCGGTCCGTCCAGTGAGAACGGGGATAGCACAGTCGGGTCTGGCAAGGAACAACCGGTAATGAATCGAACAAACGATGAAAAATCGGCTTGAGCATTTCTGAGTTTGAAGGAGTAGTTTGGCGACGTGCGGTCTGCTGCCATGTCCATATCCGCAGAGCCATTCATAGAATCATCTTCGAGGTTATAGAAGTCGAAATTCGAGCATTTTCGATGGGTCGCGTTGCCCTGATCGAGCAGCTTAGTAGCTCGATCGTCTAGTTTGAGAGTTGCCTTGATTTGTTCCATGTCCCTTAACACGAACACAACGGGGTTTTTCTGGCTGAACCGTCTCAGATATTCTTGGAGCCCACTTGTGAGACTTCCGAGGCCGCAATCGATTACACATCGGAATCTGTTGTCCTCCAGCATGCGCTTAGAAGTCTCGATGTCTTGTCGATGGAACTGCTCACTGCCATGGATTTTGAGATAGTCTTGTCTCGACATACCATTGACGGTCTGGAAATAGTGGTCTTCAGTCACGAATCGTCGCCCGAGAGCGGTGGCTGCAATTAAACCCAGAGATCGCTTTCCAGATGCCCTGATCCCAACCAAGACGAGAGAAGCTTCGGGGTGGAAGAGGCGGCTGGCGGTTGAGCCATCTGGAACCGGCGTCTTCAAAGAGTGATTTGGAGTTTGTTGCAATGTAGGTTCGTCCTGAGCAGCCTCTGACGGATGCCGGGCTGCTGCCGTCTGATCGGTGGGTAGAAGTGGTGAGGCTCTGCCAGACACTGAAGGCTGGAAGGGACTGTGGTGTGAAGGTTCGCTGAGTCGATCCGGTGCAAGCTCGCCAGCTCTGCTTTGGGATACCATGATGACCGTTCATCCGTGCTCGATCTCATTTGGAGACTGTCTATATGAAGAGTGCATTCTGATACACCATTGGCCATGTTGGAGCTGGTTGTCGAAGATGTAGAGGAATGCTGGATCAAATAATGGTTCGGAAAGACGAGGCTACCAGTGGAGATTTGGGTTGCCCTGGTGGTGAGTTTGGTGAGTCGGTGAGTGGTGGAAGACGGATTAGCGGGCGCAGGCTTGTGGGCGCAGGCTTCCTTCCCACCCCGCCAGCAACTGAGATGTTTAGTTTAGTTTAGTGGGCACCCAGGTGGGTGCACTTTCCGATCAACGTCAATCGCTAACCTGCTCTCCATACTAGGTATAGTATTGTGATGACCTCTACCACGATACCCTCATGAGACGGCTTGTTCTTGATGCTGATGTGTCTCAACCCAACCCTTCCGACAGGCCACTCCTCCCCTTGAACATGGCTGTCGCACCCCTTCCTCCTTGTGATGGCCTCACGTAGCACGGACGCGGAGGGACGGACTCGAACCAGCGACGAGGAAGGCACTTCAAAGCCAATACGAGCCCGCGTTTCACGCGCCTGCACCCGCTGTCGAGCCCGCAAAGACAAGTGCGATGCGAAGCAGCCCAATTGCACAAACTGTGCAAATGCCGGACAATCGTGCGTATACGTGGCAGGGACCAAGAGGAGAGGACTTCAGGAGGGGTATGTGCGCGGCCTGGAGAAGTTGTGGGCTGTCATGCTACAAAAGGTGCACGGACTAGACGATGCGGTTCAGCAGGTAGTGCGTCGGAACGAACAAGAGCTGTTGCGCATATGGAACCATCAGAAACTTGGCGATGGCCTTCACACAACATGGAAAGAGTCAAATGTGCTTACAGAGCTGGAGAAGCTCTTATCCCATCTCGAGCATAACTCTTCAATCCACCCAAAGCGCAAGCGCGACATCGAAGACGACGGCGAAGATGAAGCAGTAGAGCCTCTTCACCATCGAAGCCGAGGCGATAAATATGTGCTCACATCAGATTTCAAGGTCGTTGAGATGGCACAAATCCCGAACGAAGAAGAGACTGGACCTGGCTTCGGAGATCCTCTGACTGAGGGCAAACTCGGCATCACACGTCCGGAAGATGTCCCTCTGCCATCTTCGGCCTCACGTCTTTTGGATCAATATTTCACTTTCACCCACTGCTGGTTTCCAATCCTGGACAGGCCTGCTACGTTGCGGAAATTCTTCGAGCACACGATGCCTCACAAACGACGTCCTCTCGACCATGCTGATCTTTCTTGCATATGGGCTATCTTGGCCTACTCTCAGCAACAGACGGGGCATCTTCTGCCAACGCCTGCTGCGACACCTGGAACCAGCGTTGCCGAGCTGCGTTCTTTAGCAAGGAATCTGATACCGTCCGAGCGTGGACCTTTCTCACTTGGCCATGTTCAGGCTTTGTTGTTATTGGTCCTCCTTGATATCGGCATGGGCGACTGGACGTCTGCGTGGATGCTGGTCGGCTCTGCTATACGAGCTTTACTGATCTCCATGGGATCGGAAGCGGTGGTCCCGTTCGAGAATCCGCGGGGCTTGTATTCTGACTCTAGGATTGACAGAGATGACGGCACGACGGCTTCGAGACATATCCCCGATTCAAAACATAGGAGCTGGCAGGCCCTTCTGCAAGGCTGTTTTGTCTTGGATACCATCATCGCAATCTGTCTAAAGAGGCCGCCACATCTTCAGAGTGGTCATTTGAGTTCTACCCAGTTCCTCGAAGAAGACGGACATGAAGAATGGGAACCGTGGAAGGCAGTTGCTGGTGATGACGGCCCCGAGTCGAGAGAGCCAGCGTTCGTGACAAGCTGCTTCAACCGACTGACTGAGCTCTGTATGATTGCCAATGATGCGTTCTGCACAAAGGTCTCCCACACAACAATGATAACACCAACACAGCACGTTGTATCACGGCTGCGTTCGCTGGGCGAGAAGTATCCCTTCACTCTCTCGGATGTTATACGACGCCCACCACATCAGATGCTTTTACATGCGTGTCATTTTGCCTTTCAAACGGCCAACTCTCAATGGAATGGGGACCAGCCAGAGCTTAAGTCGAAACTCGCAGAAGTTCTGAGGTTATTTGATCATTCGTGGAATCTTCCCAACAAATGTGGCATCCCATCCATGTTGATCCCACTTTACTGCCTAGCCAACCTAGAAACCGATACTTCTTCATCGCCTATTATTGGTCCTGACTTGGTTCCGGAAAGGCCTAACCAGGTACGGTCGAGGTTGGCCTTGATCTGGCCAGGAGCAGAATTCTTCATCAATGGTGGTACGCCCATGAGATCAACCGGGCTTCTGAGCACAGCTCCAGTGTTGCCGTTCAACAATGTCTTACAAACACAACCAGCATCCGCCAACCTTGCGCCCGCCTCAAGCAGCCACAGAGATCTGGGTGGCATGCAAGATTTTGGGAACGCGCAGACCCTCCTCCAATATCATGACGTGGCTCAGTATGGAAATGCAATCGAGGTGCCACAGCCTAATGGGTCAACTGCCGCGGATTATGTGGACTACGGTGCTGCTATGAGTGTTGACATGCCCGAAGGGAATAACGAGGCAAGCGCTGGCCTAAATTCAATGACGAAAACCCGTAACGTTTCTGGGTTGTCAACGTCTCCAAGCTTTAACGGCGACGAGATTGATGCCTTGTTCCACGAAATGGCTCAACTCGATACAACTCGATGGACTGATGACAGGACTCAGGGACTTAAAGACTTCGGCTTTCCGGATGACACCACCTTCGAGGCTTTTTGCAATGATCCGGATCGCTTGATGGGATCGGATGGGTTCATGGGTGTTATCAATAATGAGAGCAATCTTCTCTCCGAAGGTCAAGCTGCAATATCGGGCAATGACAATCTTCGAATTGGAAAGATGACCTTTGACGATATTTTCCGATGATGGAGGTCCGCGAGGAGTTTAGTTGCCAGTGTCACGATTGCTTTGAAGGCCAACTCCGCCTTCTGGGCAGCATGTATTTCAGATAGAGGGTGCATACAACGTATGAACTTGCTTCAGTCCATCGTTGACATTGAAAGTCATATGCTTTTCGCCTCGACTTGTTGATCCGTCAACCCAAAACAACATTGAGCAGCAGTATCGTGAGTTTCCGTGGTATTCGTTGTGCATAATCCTTGTATCCCAGACGAGGCTGCAACCTCGTTACCGAAGTTTAGCCGCAGCTTCCACTTTTACTCAACAGACCAATGCAGTTTTCTTTCTTCGTCGACTTGGGGTCTCGACAGGTTTGAGCAGCTGTTCATAGGTCACGATCCTTGTACTTCAGCGTATCCTCTCCACAAGCGCGCATTGTCCAAGTGACGAAACTGCTTTGAACTCCAATCACCGGTCTCACCATCGCAGAACCGTACAGCTCTGCTACCTCCGTCGACCTTTCTCTCTTACATCCCTTCTCGGCAGAGACTTGCGAACCCTCCAACAGGATGCCTCCCCGTGGCTCCTCGACAGCAATCAACCCAGTTCGCCTCCAGACCGTGTCACGGTTAAAGATCAGACACCCAGACAAGCAAGAGCCGAATCCATGTCTAGGGCCCATGACTGCTATGCTGAGTATGTCTGTGCCAATTGCCTTTTCCCTAGGTGGACTGGAGGGTGGTTGAGATATTTTGTGCGACGTGGAAGATCTACCACCGTAAGAGCTAGGATGATATTGTCGAGTGGACGCAGAAAATATGGCTCGCCACCAATCCAGTGCAAAGAGCAGGAAGGAACTCTATAATACTTGCAAAAGCTTGCTGACATGATTCTTTCTAGACTGCTGGGCCGCAGGCGCCGCTTCAGGAGGCTGCGGACACCTTGAGAAAGCTCTGAGAGACTGCATGGACTCACCTGTACGTTGCGCATCCGCACTTCTGAAGTGGTCTTGCGACCATTACCTTACAGACGACTGACTTGTTCGCTGCCAGAAACCCCCGCCAAAGGGCAAATCCACGATAAACCACCATCTCGGCCGCTTATATCCTCTGATCTCGGGACCGAAGAAAAAGACGTGAAAGGACTGTCTAGTGTGACGGGACACTTCTGTGATGGGCCACTCTCAACCCATCCAAGCATCGCTTTCCTGGGATCTACAGGAGCGGTCTACACGCTGTTTGGGCTAGAGCATGCTCAATATGAGAGGAGGATTCATACTTCGCCAGGCTGTATAAATACAGATTATTAAGAATGTGGACGCCAAATGACCGCTCGTGCTGGTCGAGGTGTGGGAATCTGCTCAATTTGGCTACAGATTGGTGGAAAGACGGAGCACGTGAGTATAGCGTGGAATGAACGGCGCCGGGAACTGTCAAATGCTTCAGGCGCATCATATATCTGGGCTAGAGAGGAGTCTGGCATCGTCAACGCGAACACCGAGCAGTCTGAACATGACTTGATTGAAGTCCTTGGCCAATTCGTCGAGAAGACATCTTTGGGGTTGTACAATACGAAGGATGAATTGATCTATACGATATGTAACAATGCACCGCCGAGGTTCTCCCTTCCCACTCGAATCGCCAATCGAGCAGTATTCAGCCGTATGGTTTGCCTACTACATTGAACTTGAGCAGAATGGCAGTGAGCACACCGCGAAACCTTCCCTGTACGATTAAAGTAACCGACCTGCAAAGGGCTAGCCCTCTGCCCTCTGACGTCATTGCGATCTATAATGAGGCTGAGTGGTTCAGCAAGGGCCGTGGTCGCCTTTCACGAGTCCAAGCTTCCCACTGATCTATCTCTACTCGGTACAGCACAGACCCATGTCGCCAGCAGAGACTGGCTCTGACCCAGAATTTGCTCAGGCCCAATAGGCGACGCAGCTGTCTCAGTGTCTTTCTTCTACGACTCAACCCTCCATGTCTAAAAGTCGAAGTCCTTCCTCGACTCTCCTATCTACTTAGATATTTTAGTTGCCTTGCGTCGGTCTAAACCCCTTTAAAATGGACATGTCGAGAGCCAACCTTTCCAAACACTTCATCGTCTCATTTATCATTGGCTGTCCTTAAGCGACCAAATACCCTTAGATTTTGGTAGGAGATGGCCGCCTGGGGCTGCGCCACTGTGCATGGGAATGGATTGAAGGGGGAATGAACAGCACCACCTCACCTAGATATCGCCATTACGGTTCGATATTCTTCGGATAGTCTGAGAGACACACACTCTCTGTAATATCTTGTCCGACTACATCTCCTTCGTCCTGGGTATCATGGCGGATGCAAGTCATATCACCACCCCTCCTCAGCCTTACCGCAAACGGGAAGATCCTCAGGCCTTTTGCAGGAAATGTGCATCATTGGACTTGGATGGGGTGTTTGCCCTTTCTCAGAGTGATTCCACACCCGTGACAGTGATCAAGCTCGACAAGGGGTACGAACCCTCGTGTCCGCTTTGCAGATTCCTGGGACATATCGCCCACAACAGCTCGCGATCACCTAAACCGATCCTAACCTTTTTGAAGATATATCATCTGTGTACTCGCTGCGGGGTGTCACTTCTTGACTGCCTACATCCTGACGTGGTCTTTGGAGTTGTCGGCACAGATCGAGAACTGCCGTTGGCAAAGGTTCTCAACCGGTATGAGAACCTCGAAAAGCGTCAACTCATCTCTGATTCCACCTGTCTCCTGCGGGATGCTGGTCTTATACTACCCATTGATCAGGATTCCACCCCTGTCCGTTTACAGGGGCACCAGATAGACGCCAATTCCATCAATTTTGAGGCTGTAAGCAGTTGGATAGCGACTTGCAAGAGACTTCACCCGCAATGCTCAAAAGCCTGCGCCAACGCTACCGCCTATCCCAGGTGGCTCTTTGACTGTCATGATAGAAGGCTTGTTCGCAATTATGGTAGTGTCGAGTACACGGCTCTGAGCTATGTCTGGGGTTCGGGGTCGACAGCTTCCTGTCTGAGCGGGATCCATGGAACTAACGATCACCTGGCTTCGTCGCCACAGGTAGTAGAGGATGCCATTTCGGTCACCAAAGCTCTCAACTTTCGATATCTCTGGGTTGACCGGCTCTGCATTCGGCGTAACAACAAGCACGAGTTCCATCGTGACCTAAAGGATATGGCCTCATTCTACCGTGCCGCTCAGTTGACCATCATTGCGCTCCACGGGGAGAGTGCAGACGATGGTCTTCCAGGTGTCAGCACCGTCCGGTGCGAAGAACAGCCTCGTGTCGAGATCGGGAGTTGTCGCCTGATATCCACCATGGGCACGCTCGAGTCGGCGAGGTATCGCTCGAAATACATAACTCGAGCGTGGACACACCAGGAGGAAGTCTCATCAAGGCGTCGATTGTACTTTACGCGTCAGCAATTGTACTTCAAGTGCATGACATCGTCGACATGTGAGACGGTGGCCGCCCACAGCACGCTCGAGGAGCTTTTGGTTGAACCAACCGTAACCTCCACTGGCAGTCCCAAACACGAACTGGACGAGTTTGACACCGCCTGGGAGCACATCTCCCAAGTTTCGAGACGGAGTCTAACGTACGAGTCAGACCGGCTGAATGCAGTGCTTGGTCTTCTCGAAGAACCGTCACTGCTCAAAGAGTCGTCTCACCTGCGCCAAATTTACGGCATGCCCATCCCGCCCGGCAGGAGGTGGAGGGACGACATGCTTTCGCCCGACGCACTGTTTGCCCTCTCACTTCTCTGGACCAGACGTCACACCGAGAGCCGGCAAGCTTGCTTTCCGAGTTGGTCCTGGGTAGGCTGGAGCGGCGGCAAGGTGGTCCCGATCTCTCTGGGCCAACACGCCGCGGAAGGCTCGTGGTCTAACGACGTGGAGGTCGGACTACAAGCATGCGACACGGGCGACGCGGTGAACCTGAAGGACGTGTCGAGCTTCACCGAGGCCGCCGTGGATGAGATGCCCCGGGTTCTGCGCGTGAGGAGTCGAGGCTGTCGCCTACGCAACCTGGTCCGCAACCCATCACCCACACAGCGCGTCCGGGCGAACTTTGTGTGCGGCTTGACCGAGAGATCCGTGCCCATCGACACGGAACTGTGCTCGGACACCGCACTCAGCCGCCTCGAGACGTGCGGCACCGTTCTCGCCCTCGACTTTGTGGACCGGTCCAGGGGCCACGACCTGGATCGCTCGGCCCCCTTGCTGGTGGTGGCGGCCGTGAATGGGACAGATCGGCCCTTTGAGCGTGTTGGGACCATCCGCCTGTCAGTGATCCTGTCGCTCACGTACCTGGAGCGTCTGAGGCCAGCCGACTTTTTGTCCAAGTGGGAAAACGTGACGGTGCGGATAGGATGAGGGATGAGGAGGGCAGTCAAACCAATGTATGGGCTGAATGAAGAAGACGGCCATTATATCAATATCGAATATTTAATATGGTCATGAATAAAACAGAAAAATATGATTTATGATCCATTGATATGATATGATATTGTATTACACTATGAACCACCCCCCCTACCAACCAACCCAATATAGAGAAAGAGAAAAGATTCATCCATGTCCAGGGAGACGCCGTCGCTTGATATCAATGACTAGGTCTCCTTGCTGTGCTGTGCTGTTCCTTGTTGCGCTATGCTAAGATATGACATGCTGAAATGTGAAGTGATTTGTTGTTCGTATCAGGTCGTAAGTCTCATGGTGGGCGTTGTGTGTGGTGGATGAACAAACAATAACAAACGACCATCAACCGATATATAACCAAGAAAAAAGATTCAAAAAAGTATAACACGCCCATTGTTTTTTTGGGGGGGGAACCCTTTTCGTTCCAATCCATCCATCCATCCATCCATCCATGAGTCTCGTACAATGCATATGTATGCATGTATACCATATCAGACCATGCTATGCTATGATGGCTGCAAGACCATACCATGAGATGTAATGAGACGCTATGCTATGCCATGTCATGTCATGTCATGTCATGTCATAC